CTTCTTCAGTCCGCATCTTCACTTCGGATGTACCTGCAAAGCCCCGAGGTGAAACTCGGGGTAGACACTCCGATGCTTAAGTCAGGAATAATCGGGGCTACCTTTAGAGCGGAGATAAAAAGAGCTTAGGGTTGGTTTCAATTACCTTTCTGAGGTGGCCCTTGAGGGGTATTTATATGTTCCAATGGAGAACCCGTGTTGGCCTGCCAAGCGAGATGATCGGGACCGGGAATTTGAGACATATTCAGGTGTGGGCATACGCACCATAACTATTGTACAGCTTGTCATAAGAAATCAGGTGCGTGCCTGTTCACGGTAACTATTATGCAGTTGGGTTTACTTTTCACTTCGATTGTTGAAGAATTATTTAGTACGTCCGAGGTGGGCACCTCGGACCTATCCGTACAAGAAAATATATAAGAAACATGATCAAATGAAACCTTCAATTCTTTCTTCACTTATAAGTATTTCAACTACTCCTAATCTTCTTAAACTTAAATAGAAGAATAAAAATACATGTAAAAATCCCAGTTTCAGCATTTGCAACAAAAAAGTAATCTTTAAAAATTAGGCTGCTTATTACGAGTTTCTGCCATTTGACTAGACTTTTCACAGTTTTGGCCGTTACCTTCTATCTTCATCTTTTGCTGGGTTGACACTTTAGTCCTCAAACTTAAGTTTGTCACAGAACTAGTTTTTATTTTATTTTGCCAAGATTTTTAATTCTTCTAGAGCTATTTGTCACAAGGTGAGACTAGCTCCGATGGCACTTGTCTCGGAGGCGAAATCTAGCTCGACCTCATGCGGCACTTAGCTCGGAATTAACCCCGTAAACCCAAACCAAGTCAGCCTTTCCCAACACTTGGCGTGGCCCTCTAACTGGGCTTGAGGTTAGCAACACGTAAATGAAGGTAGGAAGTTGGGAGAAGAAGAGAATTTATTAAAATCGCAAGGAAGTGTACAAGAGCATGAGTACACAGCTCCTCTATGCACTCACCCACCTAATAGCTCACTCTCTATGGCCAACTCTCTCCTTCTTCTTCTACTTAGGCCACCCCTATTTATAGAAGAGATCTGGCCTAAGAGCCCTCTGCAGGTGTGTCTCTAGAACACTCCACACAATTCCCCTCATATTTACACTTGCTAGAAGCTTCTCCACTCTCCCTCCTAACCTAGCCTAGAATAATCTAGAACAAACCCATTCTAAAATTATGTACAAGGTCCTAGGAGTAACCCAGGTCGAGCTTGGCCCAACAACCCATCCAGACCCCTGTCTGGTACTATTCTCGCGTGCCCAACAACTTCTAGAAAGTTTTGGTCCGCTCCAGTCTGCTGCAAAGGTGTCGACACCATAGCCACGTGTATTTCTCGCGTATCGACACTTCTTCCGCTGCGAGCATGGCACACTATGTGGACGCCGTTGGTCGCTCTCGCACGCCCTTGCATGTCTCGACCACGACCCCGTGCCACGATCTTAGCATTGACACTGCCAACTCATGCCAGGCCCGCCTTCGAAGCGTTCCATGTCACACTCGCCCCTGCGCCTGTGTTTGCGCTTGCATGCCCCAGTGCCTCAAGCCATACTGCACACATGCGTGCCAGCGCCTCGACCTAGCTTGCTCGTGCATGCACCCGTGTCTGGGGCACGGCGCCCCCGACTGCTTACGCACACTCCCGCGTGTCCCGTTGACAACTTCACGCCACGGCCCTGGTATCGCTGCCTCCGCTGGCAAGTCCCGCTGCATCTTGAGCGATCCACCTTGCGCCTGAGCCCTCGAATGTATAAGTACTGTAATCGCAACCCCGTGTCATGATATCGACATCCGCGTCCCTCATGCCTGCGTCCATGCTTCCGCTTGCGCTTCCACTTGTGCCCACGCTCGTGCTCGCGCTTGCCCTCGTGTCTGCACTCGCACTCCGTGACGCTGCATGGCATGTCCCCTGGATGCTACACACCCTCTGTGCCCGTGGTTGTAGCTCTGTGCCATGATGCCTTTGACTTCAGCCCCCAAACTCACGTGCCGTGACATATTGCTCTTCTTACTTCAAAACTATATCTATCCCATAATAATTCATTAGTTCTATAGGGAATCATCCCTTCTATTTCTATAATCTTTGTGATTATGTCAATTTGTTGTTCACAAAATCTGACTTCTTTGCTTAAATACATTCTTAACATCATTATGCTTTAATTCTTTTATGGCTTTAATACCAAATTTCTAAAGGGGTTTTGGCACCTAACTCAGATTAATGCTGACTAATGAGTGGTTGGTATGTGAAGCTCATTAAATGCAAAACTAGATCTATCGAGCAGCTAACAAAAATAATATTTGCTTAACCTTTTGTTAATCTTTTTAGATCTTCAGTTAAATTTGTTGTTGTCTGCTTCAATTTTTTGAGATTTTTGACAAGATGATAGTCATCTTCAATATTACTTATTTTTTCTAAAACTTTTACTATTTTATTTCTATAATATTTGTCTTGCTGCTCATAAACTTTCTTATCTACAACAATTTCTTGAATGAAGTCAAGCATCTTAGAGTATAATGAGTTGATATAAAAACGAACTTTTTTATTTAAAATATAAGATGTTAGGTATTATTTCCCCATCATTTCTAATCTCAAAAATAATATGAAGTTAAAGAATATAAAGCTGTTTCTATGCCTACCTTGCTTCCACATGATAAAAAAAAATGAGTTAGAATTTTACTTGAAAATCTTTTAGTCTAGCCTTCAATCAAACTAATGCTTCCTTCGTCTAACCATCAATGCCAAACTCAAGCTACAATGGGTATCTGGACAGGACAAATGACTTCACTACTACCTAAATTTCTTTAGAAACTCTTCTCCTTGTATTTTATGATGGAAATAAAGAAGGATAGAAACACAAGAATTATTCTAAAGCATGTTTTTATTTCTAAGAAGAAAATGGGAAAGTTTTCTTTAGAAATTCTTCTCATTGTATTTTATGATGGAAATAAAGGATAGAAACACAATAATTATTCTAAAACATGTTTTTATTTCTAAGAAGAGAAAGGGAAAGTTCCCTTTTCTCTTGAAGGGTGTTTACAGATGCGTGGTCGAAGGCTTTCAGGTAAGATATTTTGGGTATTCAAATGCCGGATACCTATTACAGCTTATAGGAGGCTTTTTATAGTGCTCCTTCGAATCTCTTCTTCTATCATTGCTAATGTTTAAAGTTTACATTATTGTTTGGTGATGCAGACTTACTTCTTACTTTTACCAAAGTAGATTACATGGAATCTTGCAGACACTCTTCTTTCTCTTTAGCGACATAAGAGTTTACGACTTTTTGCATTAGATTCTTTAGAGGATGATGAGATCTTCTTTTCTTTTTTGCTTTATTTTAAATAGGCTTATGGTTGTCATTAATCTTACTCAAGTGGATACCATTGAAATTTCATTGGAGAAGCCATAAGTCCATGTTTGCCTCCTATCTACCATTTTGTCAAAGGTCTAGAGTAAAACATTCAATCCTAGAGCTCTCCTTTCTTGGATAAACTCAATTCTATAGAGAGATTCTTCAAAATCTTAAAAAATTTGATCTTCATTTGCTTTTAGTTTAACCTTCTTGGATTGAATTCCAATATGAACTATATGATAACTAGGAAAATATTGAGACTTCTCCCATTCTGGTGTTGCATAGTAGATCTTGACAAATACTATTCCTTAAGCTCTGGTGCCAGTCTTGAAGTCCTTTACTCCTTGGCATCTAACTTTTGAGAGTTCTGAAATCTCCTCATTATTTTTTGAGAGATAGATATAGTTTACAAAACTATAATGAAATAATTCTTTTATTACCTTCAGGTTTGCATTTTGCATAAAATTAATTTTGGGATAAATCCCTTTATGGATACGATAGCAATTCTCAATAGATCTTATCGAATATGCGAGTTTACAAACTTTGTGGTATTCCTACATATATTCTTCACTCATTGTCATTTTTGGCAAGGTATCTATTATTGTAACTTTTTTTCCTTGCTTTCATGAGTAATCAAGTCAAAAGTTATAGTTTTTGACATTTTGAATAACCAGCTTTTCCACTTAAGATATTGATATTTTTGGAAGAGAGTATTTGACAAAATAGTCAAATTTCTCTACACTTTCTCCAAGTAACCCTAGTGAAGGATTACCTTGTTCAAAATTTTCTTTTAGCTCTTGTTGGGAGGCTTTCTTGCCATCTGGTCAAATTCTTTTACGTTGATTCCATCAGTAATAATTACTCAAGAGTTCATTAATTTTTCCATAAGCTCTTTGACTTCTTAAAGGGCATCTTGTACCTTATTCAATAACTCATGGCCTTTCATGATTTTATCTTGGCTTTCATCAATTATCTCTTGACCTTCTTTTATTTGGCTATTGCCTTAAATGACTATCTTTTGACCTTCGAGAATAAGGTCTTTTCCTTTATTTTAGAGTTTTAGGATTTCATCCATTAGCTCCTTCTCTGCTTAAAAAATTTGCAAGACAATTATTAGTCCTTTTGACATGTTAAATTTCAAAATCATACTTAGCAAAAATTTTTTGCCATCTATTTAATCTTTTATATTCTAGTGTTAAAGATAATTTATTAAAAATAAATCAATTAACTTGAGTATTGTCAGTTCTAATCTTAAAATATTTTGGTAACGAGAAACTGAACTTTTTCATTCCATTTAATAGCCAATAATTTTTTATGATTTAAATGATATCTAGTTTTGACATCTTTAAATGTACCACTAGCATGTCTACAAATTTTTTCTTGAGAATTTTTCAAAGCTGCTCCCAGCAAAAATTTGAGGCATCACATTCTACTATTAACTCTTCATCATCTTTAAGCAATTGTAGTCTAAAAAGGTTTTTGTAATATTCTTTTTTTTTTTTTTCACATGATTGATGTAATAAATTTCACATTGTTCACTTTCCTTTTTCCTTAGCAATTTTTGTAAAGGATGTCTTAATTGAACTAAGTTTTGAATAAACTACTCTACATAATTGAGTAGTCCTAAAAACCTTTGAATATGTTCCTTAGATCCTAATTTATTTGGAAACATCAAAATTTTTTCACTAATGTGAGATTGTAATTCTATATTGGTGGAATCTATTGTTAATCCAAGGAATTCAGTTTTGGTTTGGTTAAACTCTCAATTTATTCCCTCAATTATTGTACGAATCCCTGATTTGGTTTCTTAAGTAAAAAAATCTTGGATTTAGTCCCTATTGTTTACCGATTTGGCCCCAAGTCCTTTTGCTAAAAAACAACTAATGTGTTTATTACTTAATGGTAGAAAACTGTTACTTAATGGTAGAAAATTGTTACTTAATAGTAGAAAACTATTACTTAATGGTAGAAAACTATTACTTAATGACCACTTGTCACGTTAATAATAAAACATGTCATATGTTTTTGCATTGA